TATATATATAATTTAATATATATATATATATATATATATATATATATATATATATATATATATATATTTCATATTTATCAATTACATATTATGAATATAATGATGAAATATGTATTTATATTTTTTTAATAAAAATTTAAACAATTAAAAAAATATTTTTTTAATCTTATCAAACACAAAATAAATCAATCCTTCTTCATTTTCATCCATCTTACCAAACACAAATAAGGGAAGGAAATATTCCACCTTTGACGGATAAAAAGTGTATCACTTTCACTTTCTATCATTCAATTTTTCATCCATCTTACCAAATAGACCATTAGTGTGTTAAAAAAATCGTGAAGGACTTTGTTGGTCTAGCTGGTGGTGAATAGTATCTTTTTTTTATGAATGGGCACAAATATTCATTTTTCTCTTTTTTAAACTCTCTAAATTATAATTATCAAAATTAAGTCTCATTTATCTTAAAATAAGTAATCCATTAATAATCAAATTCATCTCAATTTATACTAATCTATATATTTTATAGGGTAGGAATCCATGGGCATTTGCCAAGAGTCATCTTTCTTGCAAACTAATATCACTAGAATAAGTATGGACCTAAGTCATACAAAATGAGAGCATGGGCAAGAGCGATAACAAGAGCGCAAAAGCGAAAAGTTTAAAAAAAATATAAAAGTGGAAGTATCTTGAGAGCTTTATAATATATTTTATGTATATGTATGTGTGTGTGTGTGTGTGTGTATATATATATACATACACACACACACACACATATATACTAGCAATGCAACATATGCATTGCACGCGAATAATTTTTGTATACAAAATATTAATAAAAAGTATTAGGTATATGTGTACCTACATTAAATATCATCTCAAATCTATCAAAATTATATTTTAATCGCTTGTATTATATTAAAAATATTGTCTATTCTTGTTTTAACTATAAGAAAAAAAGATAATAATAATTAAGAATTAAATAGGTCAATAGGATAAAATATAAGGTTAATAACACTTTAGGTTTCTAAAGTATGTATTTTTTGTCAATTTCATCCCCAATATTTGAGTTTTGTCAATTTAATCTATAAAATATTAAATTCTTATTTAAATGGTTCATAACCAAATGGTCCATTAAGTTTTTTTTACAAATTTGAGTTTTGTCAATTTAATCTATAAAATATTAAATTCTTGTTTAAATGGTTCATAACCAAATGGTCCATTAAGTTTTTTTTACAAAAATGACCACATTTCACTCCGTCAGATAGTATCGCGTTATCATCACTTCTGTCAAAAACTTAACAAATTGTTTGTGTATAAATAATTTAAACACTAACTAAATTCTTTAGAGACCAAACTGATAAAATTGATATAATGAGGATCAAACTGATAAAACATGTATAATTCTGGGACTTAAAGTACTATTAACCCTAAAATATAATATCATATNCTAGGAATCCTTTCAAGCTCAAACAAAAACTCTACCAGAAGAATCCATAAAGGAGGTTATGAAATCTCAACAAAACTCACTATGCCAAGGCAAGGGTAAAACTTGGGCCCTAAAGGGGGAACTCAACCCCTTTGAGAGAGCTTATGTTCCTCTCAACTTTAAGGTCCACAAAGGCAAAATGGAGTGTTGGCATCAAAAAAGGAGCCATAACAAAGCCAAAGGGATGAGAATTAAAAGGAGATAAGCGATCAGAAGAGGGACGAGAATTGGAAGAAGGAGATGAAAAATAAGAAAAAATTCAGGTGAAAGATCGTGCTCAATATTTCAATCAATCAATAAACCAAATTTTGCAAAAATCCTTGCCTCATTCCCTTTATAGGAACCCTAAAAACCTAAAATTAAAAATTCCTAATACAACTCTACTACCAAATTAAAAAATAAACCCTCAAATAATATCCCAACAATAAATAAACTCAAATAATTTCATTTAATCTAAAATAAATTGTTAGGAACCTAATCTTCAATCCTAAGCTTCATTCAATTCATTTCCGTTATGCGAAGCTACAAATCAAACAAAAAAAAAAAAAAGAGAGCAACTTGAAATAAGCATTAGATCCAGTAGAAACAGTAAGAGTAATATTAGAGTTAAAAAGAAAGAGGGGAAAAGAGAAACAAAGAAATAAGAGAATAATAACTAGTGTAGGCTCTATTGTCATATACCCTCTTATTTATAATAGACTGATATCATGGGTAATTACAATACTATCTTACACTACTAATAATATAAAATAAGAACTTTAATGCTCCCATTCAAGTTGAACCATAAAGATCAAAGGTTTTCAATTTGGAGCAAAGATTAATGAGGACAAATGGAGCCAATAGTTTGGTAAGGATGTCACCAGCTAATCACTAGACTTGATATATGGTATGATAATCTCTTTTCGCATTAAGAGATATTGACTAAAATGACAATCTACTTCGATGTGCATAGTACGCTTGTGAAATACAAGATTACTGACAATAAAAATAATTATGTTGTTGTTACAATGCATAGGAGAACCGATACTCATATTATAAAGTACTGGACAATAAGTCATGGCCCGATATCCAGCCTCTACACTCAACCGTGAAACTAACATTTTGTCTATTGTTGAGCCAAATAACAAGATCACCACCAACCAACGTATAATAAACCCAAAAAGATCGTTTATCAATATGACTATCTGCCCAGTTGGCATTAGAAAAGCCAGTAATAATCATTGATAATGAAGGACGACATAATAATTCTTTACCCGATGCCCGTTTCAAATACCAAAGAATATTACAGAGAGGCTCCCCCTATTACGAGAAGAGTTCATAACCACCCCAAAGGCATATGTAATTTCAGGACATATAACTATGGGAAAAATCAGATTACCAGTCAACCTCCACTGATGGGACTGTCAAGAGGTACAAAACTATGCTGGCTATTAAGGGATTTGCTAAGACATGTGGTATTGATTATTAAGATACTTTGCCCCCGTGCAAAAGATAAACTTCATGCATGCGCTTACCTCCACTGATGGGACTGTCAAGAGATACAAAACTAGGCTGGCTACGAAGGGATTTGCTAAGACATGTGGTATTGATTATCAAAATACTTTTGCTCCCATGGCAAAGATAAACTTCATGCATGCGCTTATCTCCTATGTAGCTAATTTATGTGAAATTTGCAACAATTGGATGTGAAGAATGTCTTCCTTCATAGAGATTTGGAAGAGGATGCATACATGAAAATTCCTCCAGGTTTTTCATCTCAGATAACTGAAGGGATGGTATGCAAATTGAAAAAGCCTCTCTATGGATTGAAGCTATCCCCTAGAGCTTTGTTTGATATGTTCCTCAAGGCTATGCTAAAATTTGGATATAAAGATAGTCAGGTTGACTAGACCATGATCATTAGACAGCTTGATGACATGATTACAGTCCTCATTTTATATGTTAATGACATAGTGATAACTGAGAATGATAAAAACAAAATCACCAAATTGAAGACTCAATTGGCTAAAGAGTTTAAAATCAAAGACCTGAGTCCATTGAGATTCTTCCTTGGAATTAAGGGTGCCAGATCGAAAAAAGGCATCTTCTTCTCCCAGAGAAAGTATGTTCTTGACCTTCTTAAAGAGACAAAGATGGTGGGATGTAGACCTACAAATTCTCCTATTAAAGTCGACCATTAATTGAGTGGTGGTACTGGTGAGGTAATAGAAAATGAGAGATACCAAAGAATAATGGGGAGATTAATATATCTCACATACCAGGCCAGATATAGCTTATGCAATAAGTGTTGTCAATCAATTCATACACAACCTCCTCATCTTGAAGTTTTTTATCGCATTTTAAGATATCTTAAATCAGCTCTAGGAAATAGATCTTATCAAAAAATACTAGTCACTTAAAATTAGAAACATTTAGTGATGCAGGCCGAGCAAGATCAATTGATGATAAAAGATCAACTTCAGGCTATTGTACCTTGATTGGAGATAATTTAGTCACAAAGTAAGAAGCAAGCAATGGTGGTTAGGTCTAGTGTAGAGACTAAATACAGAGCCATGGCCCATGGAGTTTGTGAGCTTATGTGACTCCAAACATTAGTGAAAGAGTTGGGAATTCATGCTGAGGGACCAATTAGTCTAGACTATGACAATAAGGCTGCTATCAACAATGCTCATGAACCAATTTAACATGATAGATCTAAACATGTTGAGATTGACCGACACTTTATTAAGGAAAAATTAAACAAGAGGTTGATTTACATGCTTTTTTTGAAATCAGAAAACCAGTTGGCCGACATCTTCAGAAAAGGGCCTAGTAGCAAGATTTTTCATCCCATTGTTTGAAAGTTGGGCATAAGAGATATCCAACTTGAGGGGTATTGTTAAGTTATGCATTATTTCTAGATTAATGGTAGTTTATTACTTTGTACTTTGTGAATGTATATATATTATGTACCCTAATACATTATTCCCTTTTTCCTAATTCTCTTTCTCTTTTATTCTCTCTTCTTCTCAAAACCCTAACGGCGTAATAATCTAACTTCAACCTTCCAAACATGTGATTAACAAGGTCTTATTTTGGTAGAAGACTACAAGAATAATCATTCGACAAAAGAAAAATGTCAGCACAAACAATAGAATAGGAACTGTATAGAAGAGTGTTCAAATAAAAAGAAAAATACGATAAAAATCATTTACATCCAATGCGACATTTAAATTGCCAGTAAGTCACCATGAAAATACATTGTATATCACATATTCAGCGCATGATAAGATACGAAATACAACAAGCTACCCTTCCCACTCATTGTGACATACCTCTGAACTTGAGGGATGCTACAGCTGTAAGAAGCACCTTCAAGACTTGAAGAGTTGTACTGGATATCATTTCCTCAGAAGTTACAGTCAAGAAAAGGCGTGCATATTACGAAGCAAATAGCAACATCCAACATACAAAATCGCATACCTGTCCGGTGATGAATTATCCACACAACTGCAGATCATGTTCAGGATGTCCGTAAACAGTATCCCATTTTTACCACCATCGAGGCCAGGATCGCCCTCTAAGTGATCATATGCAATGAGTTTCTGTGTGTATAAAATTTGGTCAGAATAAGTTAGCAATTATTTTGCTTTAGATGCCTGCATTAGAAGTTTCAAAGATGCTTTGAACAATACCAAGACTTGTTCTCAGAAATAGTACAAACTGAGAAGAACTGAAACTTTCTACATAAATGTAGGAGAGTTTTTATAGACAGATACCAACCAACACAACAAGCACTTACATGAAGACAATCCAATGCAAGCTCTATGACTTTTAAGTTCTTGGTCTCAAACGCAAGTCTGAGTGGATTCAATACAAGCTCTGCCTCAGCTCCTTCTAAAGTATGCCCAGCGTTTGCTAAAGCTGTTGTGATAGTTCCACTTGTGCCCATGGACCTCCCTGTGTGTTCTGCCTCCCCAGCACTAAATGGAACAGTGGGTGAAGTATCTGGATCACTTCCACTTTTTCCATCTCCAATGTCAGTTTCAGGCAAATTACTGAGAGAAGTGATTCCAAAAATTGAAACCGCATTTGATCAGAGATGATATATTAAAGGAACAGGAATTGTTAAAAAAACCAATAAACGCAAACATACTTCAAGTATTTGGCCTGTCGATGAATCAGATCTCAATCTGAATTCAACCTAATATTACTTACATGATAAGCACATATTTATCTAGCAACACACGTTATCCACAAAATACAACCTCCTCCATGGCACCACCCAATTAATACAACATGTTCAATAAACAAATTGGGTTAAACAGAGCTCTGAGTGCTTATAATCAAGATTTCTGATAATTAATACCAATCAAAACAAACACTCACACAAACACAAAAGAAGAAGCAATGGCAGCATCATTGTGACACAAAAAAAAAAAGCATAGCAGATTACAACATGTCTATGTGTAAACACCTCTGATCTCCAGCTGAAGATACTGCTTGATTAGTCTCGGTGGAATTCGGATGCTGATTAATTTCTTTTGAACTGTCTGAAAGAAGAAAAAGAAAAACATAGTATCCATTAAAATCCATTATGACCACTAGAATCCACTCACTGAAAAAGAAGCAAATAAAATATACCATAAAAACAGTGATCAGCCCAAGTGCCTCAAACCCCATTCACTCACTCTCTGTGTCTCTCAATACACAAAACCTTCTCCCTTAGGTTATATTAGCACAGATATGGCAAAACCTAAACTTTCAAGTGGTGATTACAGCACCATATAAACCTTAAAGGATCATTCATATGAGAAGTGGAGGGGGACTTCAAATAATCCCAACCCAATGAAAAATTACCCCAATTATGGAAAGGATATCAGACATCAATAAAGCAATTACAGATACAAGCAGAATTACATATTAATCCTCAGCAGCTAACCACAACATCTACGTCATCCTTGTTCATCACAAAAATTTCAAATATTATGTTCACTAGAAACATAATTTTTACAAAGAGAGGGCTTAGACATGTATCAGAAAACTCACACAAACACATACATGGTCAGTTTGGTCGAACACACAAGGCCAACAGATCTTATAGAGCTCTACAGGTACTTTTACAGGCCAGTGATGGCAGTAGCAATTGTTTTGTTCAAGTTAGGTTATGATGGCAGAAGCAAGTGTCACTTGGGCTTCAAGGTCCTTTTTCCTCTGTTTATCACTAGAGTCACTGGTGGAGCAAGAGTCCAAGGGGGGCACTAGCCCACCCTAAAATTTTTCGAAAATGTTATCTATCTATATTTCAAATATTCTTTAAATATATTCACTATGATTTTCTACTTCTATTAATTTGTTTACATTCATACCTAAATCACTGTACATTTTGGGACACACTTCGGACACGTCCAAATAACTTTTGGACATTTCAGGTCATTTTGTAATACTAATATAAAAGTTAACGCTGGTATCCTATTTCTTCCAAGATGTACTATTTTCATATTAATATTCATAATTTTTGTTTCGTTTCCTATCAACAAAAAATATAAATGGTACACGTTCATTTAGGTATTGCATAAGAATTAGGATTATTATGTCATAACTTGATTGTTATAAAGAGAATGACATTTTCTTGTCATTGATAATTATCATGCAACACTATCAAAATATAAAAACTCAACAGGAAATGAATGAAATTATCCTTATTTATATCATTTAAACAAATATAAATGGGTAATCTTACTTTTATCAATCGGGCGAAAAAAAATTAACATTTATAGTTAAAGTGCCCATCATATAATACATTTCTGCCTCTGCCCCTCACTATAGTTATAACGTACTTCGGAAATTAGGGTACTTCAATGTTTGGTATTGAAAACTTATAGGGATTTTTGTATTATTTTACTACAAATAGAGATATTTGACAACTTTCAAAAGGAACTTTTGCTTATTGATAATATTTTCCGTACATTCATTCATTCCTTTATAGGCATTAGGTTTGCTTATTTTTCACTCTATCAAAAGAGATTTAACTTATTTCATTTTTTTTGGTTTGGTTGCCTCCAACAAACCGAGGCTTCAACAGAAGGTTTATAAAGTCAAGATGCTACCTTATTTCAATGGGAGAGGCTAGTGGATCAAGATCAAAATCACAGGTTAGGATTGGCAATTGTAAGGTCCTAAAAACTTTTAAAATGGAACTAAAAATATATATAAAAATACAGAATTGTTAAAGAAAAACCTAATATAGATCTAGGTATTGAAGAGGCACAAAATCAGAGGTTGGTTGTTAGTCTGGTATGATTTTGTGAAGAGGAATAGGAAGATTAGAATGTTTTGATCATAACTTTTGAGAGAGGGAGGGAGAGAGACAGACAGACAGACTGTTTAATGCATAACCAACTAGGATTGTCCATCAAAGTACAAGTTTCATATATCAATGGTTATCAGTGAAACCAACTATGATCGTCCATCAAAGTACAAGTTTCATATATCAATGGTTATCAGTGAATTCTAAAATTTGAGGACAGTCCATGTAATAAAGCCAAGTGTCTGGGATCTATGTAAAATTTACCCAAAATTAAATTTGCAAAAGTTTACAAATGTGCAGAAAGCATTGAACTGAAATAAATATTTGAAGGTAGGATAGAGCAAAAGAAAGCTAAAAACAGAAACCAACCTAAATAACTTTGGATAGCCGACTGGAGAATTGTATACTTTTTACCGGAACACTCTTTGAGCATCGACTCCAATGCCCGAGTCACAAAACCCCCTGCAGCACGTCCAGCCATTTTTTTCCTTTTGATGGCAAACTTTTCTCCGATTATCTAAGAGTTCAACTCAATTCAAAGCAATTATAACTCTCTGACCCGTCCAAACTGTAAACTAAAATGAGAGATCCATTCAACGGAAATAAAATTATAGAGTCGGATCAAACGAGATCAGGTGTAGAGTTTAATAATTTAATTGCACTACTGAATCCCGTTCATGAGGCCCAATCCAACATTCCGGTTATACTGAGAGAGAGAGAGCAACGAAAAGGTAAAAATTACCTTACCTTCCCTTGCAGATAGGCAAAACTAATGTGAAGATGCATAAACTGAGAGATCCAGAAGGAAACGAGAGTGCAGATGTCACCTGTTTATGCGTGTACTATGCACTAGTAATACTCCACACAGGGGTGGGCTCCGATTCCGACGGAGTCGGAAGGCATAATTCCGAACTCCGACTCCGAATCACATTGACTCCGCCTATCGGAGTAGGGCGGAGTTTCAGAGTTGGATCAATTTTTATTGGGCTTTATACTTTCTCTCTTTTTTTAACTTTGATGAGATTTAGGAGAGAAGCATGCAGAAGGATTTCAGAGATGGTGAATACAGAAGCTTTTACAGTTGCTTGATAAAACACTCCCAGTTCACAGTTCCAAATAATTTGCTGAAAATGAACCAACAAAACACCATTTTGTAGACACGGACCACAGAGAGAGAGAGAGAGAGAGAGAGAGAGACCTGAAGTGGATCTGAAGGCCTATCACGAATGGCTGAACGGCTAAAGGAGTACAGAATACAGATCTGGTGGAGGCTCCTGGGGCTTTCAGATCTGCGGGGCTTTGAGCCTTTAACGAAATGGTAGGGGTTCTGGTGTGGGTAGGCAACGAGTTAGGTTAGAGTTCGAAATTTGGGGAGTTAGCCATTTAGAGTCCTGAAACTTTGAGAATAGAAGTGAAGGAAAGAGTGTGGTTGCTGCCCGTCGGGGAAGAGAGGTCGCAGCGCCTCCTCGTGATCGACGGTCAGTCAGAGCGAGAGAGAGATGGAGAGAGAGAGATGGAGAGGGAGAGGAAAAAAAACGACTAGACTTAGAGGGAATAGGTATTTTATATTAATTATATTATATTATAATTAATAAAAATCAGAATTTATAATCTGTTTAGTACGATAAAAAATTACAATGATGAAAAGGTTAAGGGAGAGATAAAATATCATTCATGTTTAATAAAAAAGGAAAGCAGAAAGGATGGAAAAGTAGATGAATGATTTTTTTTTCTAACTCATTAAAATTAATTCTTCCAAAATCAGAATGAAAATTGATGAAAAATTAATTATTTTTGTTGAAATATATTTTATTTATCTATATATTTTATGTATATATTAATTTTATATATAAATACAATGATAAAATATGCATTTATATTTTTTTTAAAAATTAAAAATAAATTAAAATAAAAAAAATATTTTTCCATCTAGTTAACGGTGGAAATTTTTAACTCAACGCGATGACACGACACGACTCGAACTCGGCACAAATTTTATGATACGAACTTGATTATAACTCGATACGAACTTGAAAATAATCTGACACATGAACACGAAATATAAATTGCTTATATTCAGTTTAACCCGTCAAACTCAATATTAACATCATCAATCCGTTTATTTAAGAAAAAACACTTTCTCTATTTTATCGTTTGTATAATAACAAGTTTAACTAATATTTATAGACATAAAATAATAATAATTTAAAACTATTTATTAACCATTGACATAATTATTATATAAAAAAATATTTTTAATTATTATTATATTTATTTAAGTTAATTTTTACTTTATAGAAAAAATACGGGCACGAATTCAATTAAGTGAAAATTGAATATTGGCGTTTTATTTTTTATTCAAAGTTTATGTGGGTCAACGCGAATACGAACACGAGCACAAATACAAACACGAAAATAAACTGATTAACTCGACATGACACGATTAGTTAAATAAATTGAACTAGATTTAACTAATGTTTGATACGAACTCGCAATGACTCGACGTGAATTTGACACGACATGATTTGATTGTCAGCCTTAATCTTAGCAAGTACAAAAATAATTATTATTATTATTTTTATTTGTCATTCATCTTACCAAACATAAAATAATTAATTTGTATTATTCCTACTTTATTTTCTTGAAGGATATAAAGTGTATCCCTCATATTTTTCATCCCTCTTATTTTTTATCATTCCTAGCGAACGGAGCATAATTAGATTCAGAATTTTTTTTGAAAATGATTTAAAATTTTGACTCCAATTTGAAGTATGCGATTTTCCTTGGACTCCATTAACATTTGACTTTGAGGAGGCCAAGCTAGAGTCCAAGTCAATTTTTTGAATTTTTATGCACTCTTATGTTTCATTTGGTACGATGAAAAATGAAAAAGATGAAAAGTTGGAAGGATGAAAAATTTGAGAGATAAATAAAATATCATGTTTGGTATGGAAGAAAAATACAAATGGTGGATTAATTTTTCCTCCAACTCATCAAAATTAATTTCTCCAAAATTAGGAGAAAAGAAAATGAAAAGTTTATTATGTGTGTTAAAATGTATGTTATTTATCCATATACTAATCATAACTCGTGTTTAAATGCACGATGAAATATAAAATTCGAACGCCAAAAAAATCAATCTTATTGTATTAAATAATAAATTTTTTCCTTCATTTCTTTGATTACATTATTTAAAATTTATTTTTACCCATTATTTTCTTAAAATTATTAACAACTTTCTCAAAATACATAATTTAATAAAATTTTCTCAACATGTATATATTATCGTCTATGGATAATATTAAAAATAAAAATTATGTTAAATTACAAATTAATCAAATATTAAATGATTGAACATGTGATAAAAATGAGTAATGTGATGTTTTTGAGATGAAAAATATGTAGAGGATAAAATTCAAGTTGCTAGGTGTTTTATTATATAGATCATTTAATATATATATATATATATATATATATATATATATATATATATATATATATATTTCATATTTATCAATTACATATTATGAATATAATGATGAAATATGTATTTATATTTTTTTAATAAAAATTTAAACAATTAAAAAAATATTTTTTTAATCTTATCAAACACAAAATAAATCAATCCTTCTTCATTTTCATCCATCTTACCAAACACAAATAAGGGAAGGAAATATTCCACCTTTGACGGATAAAAAGTGTATCACTTTCACTTTCTATCATTCAATTTTTCATCCATCTTACCAAATAGACCATTAGTGTGTTAAAAAAATCGTGAAGGACTTTGTTGGTCTAGCTGGTGGTGAATAGTATCTTTTTTTTATGAATGGGCACAAATATTCATTTTTCTCTTTTTTAAACTCTCTAAATTATAATTATCAAAATTAAGTCTCATTTATCTTAAAATAAGTAATCCATTAATAATCAAATTCATCTCAATTTATACTAATCTATATATTTTATAGGGTAGGAATCCATGGGCATTTGCCAAGAGTCATCTTTCTTGCAAACTAATATCACTAGAATAAGTATGGACCTAAGTCATACAAAATGAGAGCATGGGCAAGAGCGATAACAAGAGCGCAAAAGCGAAAAGTTTAAAAAAAATATAAAAGTGGAAGTATCTTGAGAGCTTTATAATATATTTTATGTATATGTATGTGTGTGTGTGTGTGTGTGTATATATATATACATACACACACACACACACATATATACTAGCAATGCAACATATGCATTGCACGCGAATAATTTTTGTATACAAAATATTAATAAAAAGTATTAGGTATATGTGTACCTACATTAAATATCATCTCAAATCTATCAAAATTATATCTTAATCGCTTGTATTATATTAAAAATATTGTCTATTCTTGTTTTAACTATAAGAAAAAAAGATAATAATAATTAAGAATTAAATAGGTCAATAGGATAAAATATAAGGTTAATAACACTTTAGGTTTCTAAAGTATGTATTTTTTGTCAATTTCATCCCCAATATTTGAGTTTTGTCAATTTAATCTATAAAATATTAAATTCTTATTTAAATGGTTCATAACCAAATGGTCCATTAAGTTTTTTTTACAAATTTGAGTTTTGTCAATTTAATCTATAAAATATTAAATTCTTGTTTAAATGGTTCATAACCAAATGGTCCATTAAGTTTTTTTTACAAAAATGACCACATTTCACTCCGTCAGATAGTATCGCGTTATCATCACTTCTGTCAAAAACTTAACAAATTGTTTGTGTATAAATAATTTAAACACTAACTAAATTCTTTAGAGACCAAACTGATAAAATTGATATAATGAGGATCAAACTGATAAAACATGTATAATTCTGGGACTTAAAGTACTATTAACCCTAAAATATAATATCATATTCTATAATATATATTTTAAAAGAATATTAAAATTTTAAAATTCAAGTTTTACTTAAAAAATACACTATAATTGTTTGTATATAAACTCTTAATAAAACATGAAAAGTTTATTGTGATTGAATAATTATGTTGATTTAACATAAATTATTTTTAAAAAACTATATAAAAGATTATTTTTTATCTTAAAAATGAAATGATTTAAATCTTGGATAAAAAATACACATATATAAATATAATGTTATCTTTATATTTGAAATCAGTAATGTTACATTGATAAAGTTTTTATATATTTTTTGAATATTTTATTGAAAACAGTAGTATGTAAATATTTTTTAAGGGTAACGTAGTCAATTACAAAATTTAATAGATACTAATAGTTATATATAATGAATAGATAATTAAAAGAGATATTAGAGGTAATATAGAGATTTGAACCATAAATATATGATGGTAATTTAGATATTCAATTATGGAAGAATAGTGTGGTATTTAAAATTATTTATAAGAGTAAAACAGTGAATCAAATTTTTTTTATTCTAAGCTATTTTTTTTAGTAATATAAATTATTAGTAGTATAGATGAAAAAAAATACATATATAGACATAATGTTCTTTTTTATTTGAAAAGAGCAATGATCTAATGATAGACTTTTTGAACACGTTATTAAAAACTATAATGATGCATATATTTTTTAAGAGTTGCGTAGTTAATTAAATTTTTTCATAGATATTGATATTTATACAAACATAATAAATAATTAAAAGAGATATTAGAGAGTAATTTAAAGATTTAAATATATAAAGTTGTGATTGTAATTTAAATATTTACCTATGAAAAAATTATGTGGTATTTAAAATTCTTTATAAGGTTAAAATAGTGAATTATTATTTTTTCACTTAAGTTACTTTTATTAGTAGTATATATATATATACATATTTTAATATATAAATGTTAATAAAAATATTATTAAAAAATAAAATCTATACACATATATATGTTAAATTATTTAAATTTAATTAGGTATTAATCTATACTTTATATATAAAATAAATAATTAATTAGGGAAAGGAGTTGAGATGTATTCTCTCCTACTTTTAAATTTGTAAAAATTTTGAATTATTAAAATTCCCGTCATCAAATCATATTTTGCCGAATGACTTTGATAACTACCCTAAATAATTACTCATAAAATCCTTCCAACTACTACTTATTTAAAACCTTTTTTCAACATCAAAGTTTCATAATTCAAGGGTTATTAGTGATATCTAAAAATTGAGGACAGTTTGTGTAATAAAACAAAATGTCTAGAATCCGTATAAAGTTTACCCAAAATTAATTTGCTAAGTTTACAAATGTGCATAAAGCATTGAAGTGAAATTAATATTTGGAGTAGGTAGGATACAACAAAAGAAAGCTAAAAATAGATATCAACCTAAATAACTTTAGACCGGAGAGCTATATGTTTTTTATCGGAAAACTCTTTGAGCTTGACTCAAATGATCGAGTGACAAAGTGTGACGCCCCTAAAATCGAGGGTGTTTTATCAACCATTGATTACTCATCAACTCGTGGAAGTATTTGTGATCGTCGTACAACCCGACATCACGTCAATAGCATTCCCTTAACTGGGATCACTAAAACATGAAGTTTGGGCAGAGTCTCCCTCGTTTCGGGAACTCTCAACGCATAACCTGTGCACATTTCAACTGTATGACTTATCTGAGATCTAATATACATCAATTTAAACTCAATTATTGTCAATTTACATCATTAGAACAAAAGGGCTCAAGGCCCAAAAACGTAGGAAAATCATTCTTAAAATTTCAAATTTTTAGAAAATCTTTCAGAAGGTTTTGCCTATTGAAAAATTCCTTTCGGAAGGTTTTGATTGACCTTCCATAAGGTTTTTGACGGATTGACCTATTTTTCTTGTTTTTGATTGTCAATCCACTCCAATCCATTTCAAATCAATCAAATACATGTTTAATGAAATTTTTCACATAAAATATGATACAACAAGTTCTATTACAAGCAATTCCATATATTGACATGTCAAAATAAAATTTTCACAAAAGTTATACAAAATGAGTCATAAAAATCACAAGTCAGTCTTCTTCACCCTTGAGGCTCAAATTAGGAGTCGTTCACCAGTGTAAACCCCGCACCCGAAATATTTTTCCACAAAGGGTAAGCCATGCTCAATAAAATATCTCCTAAAGAGGCTACTCCCCAACCAAGATGCATATGAAATGTTCACATGCAACAATCAACCATTCAAAACATTCCTATCAAGAATATGAATTCAATGACAAGAATTTCATGTGATGCCATGAAATGAGATGAAACTCACTTATGCACTTTAGCCCGAGCCCGAGCCCTCACCGACTCCTACAACACAATGCAATGCCAATATATAAAAATCGGACATTTCAAACCCCCGTCATTGATGTTACACATTGAATGACAATTTTATTTAAATAAAATCATGTGTCTTTGTTGGGTAGTGAACTTTTGGTGTCGCACCACTAGCTCCGCACACCGAAACACTTTTTTGGACTTGCATCATCAGAAGTATATAAACCAGTAGCGGGGTCTTGCACCTAAGGGAGAGTCTAGCCCTTCTTGCTATACCCGACACAAGTTTTTTATGCAACCGTGCGACTCAGTTAGAACTTCGTTCCAATTTTTCCTGAGCCCACCCATCATCCACCANCAAAAAAAAAAAAAAGAGAGCAACTTGAAATAAGCATTAGATCCAGTAGAAACAGTAAGAGTAATATTAGAGTTAAAAAGAAAGAGGGGAAAAGAGAAACAAAGAAATAAGAGAATAATAACTAGTGTAGGCTCTATTGTCATATACCCTCTTATTTATAATAGACTGATATCATGGGTAATTACAATACTATCTTACACTACTAATAATATAAAATAAGAACTTTAATGCTCCCATTCAAGTTGAACCATAAAGATCAAAGGTTTTCAATTTGGAGCAAAGATTAATGAGGACAAATGGAGCCAATAGTTTGGTAAGGATGTCACCAGCTAATCACTAGACTTGATATATGGTATGATAATCTCTTTTCGCATTAAGAGATATTGACTAAAATGACAATCTACTTCGATGTGCATAGTACGCTTGTGAAATACAAGATTACTGACAATAAAAATAATTATGTTGTTGTTACAATGCATAGGAGAACCGATACTCATATTATAAAGTACTGGACAATAAGTCATGGCCCGATATCCAGCCTCTACACTCAACCGTGAAACTAACATTTTGTCTATTGTTGAGCCAAATAACAAGATCACCACCAACCAACGTATAATAAACCCAAAAAGATCGTTTATCAATATGACTATCTGCCCAGTTGGCATTAGAAAAGCCAGTAATAATCATTGATAATGAAGGACGACATAATAATTCTTTACCCGATGCCCGTTTCAAATACCAAAGAATATTACAGAGAGGCTCCCCCTATTACGAGAAGAGTTCATAACCACCCCAAAGGCATATGTAATTTCAGGACATATAACTATGGGAAAAATCAGATTACCAGTCAACCTCCACTGATGGGACTGTCAAGAGGTACAAAACTATGCTGGCTATTAAGGGATTTGCTAAGACATGTGGTATTGATTATTAAGATACTTTGCCCCCGTGCAAAAGATAAACTTCATGCATGCGCTTACCTCCACTGATGGGACTGTCAAGAGATACAAAACTAGGCTGGCTACGAAGGGATTTGCTAAGACATGTGGTATTGATTATCAAAATACTTTTGCTCCCATGGCAAAGATAAACTTCATGCATGCGCTTATCTCCTATGTAGCTAATTTATGTGAAATTTGCAACAATTGGATGTGAAGAATGTCTTCCTTCATAGAGATTTGGAAGAGGATGCATACATGAAAATTCCTCCAGGTTTTTCATCTCAGATAACTGAAGGGATGGTATGCAAATTGAAAAAGCCTCTCTATGGATTGAAGCTATCCCCTAGAGCTTTGTTTGATATGTTCCTCAAGGCTATGCTAAAATTTGGATATAAAGATAGTCAGGTTGACTAGACCATGATCATTAGACAGCTTGATGACATGATTACAGTCCTCATTTTATATGTTAATGACATAGTGATAACTGAGAATGATAAAAACAAAATCACCAAATTGAAGACTCAATTGGCTAAAGAGTTTAAAATCAAAGACCTGAGTCCATTGAGATTCTTCCTTGGAATTAAGGGTGCCAGATCGAAAAAAGGCATCTTCTTCTCCCAGAGAAAGTATGTTCTTGACCTTCTTAAAGAGACAAAGATGGTGGGATGTAGACCTACAAATTCTCCTATTAAAGTCGACCATTAATTGAGTGGTGGTACTGGTGAGGTAATAGAAAATGAGAGATACCAAAGAATAATGGGGAGATTAATATATCTCACATACCAGGCCAGATATAGCTTATGCAATAAGTGTTGTCAATCAATTCATACACAACCTCCTCATCTTGAAGTTTTTTATCGCATTTTAAGATATCTTAAATCAGCTCTAGGAAATAGATCTTATCAAAAAATACTAGTCACTTAAAATTAGAAACATTTAGTGATGCAGGCCGAGCAAGATCAATTGATGATAAAAGATCAACTTCAGGCTATTGTACCTTGATTGGAGATAATTTAGTCACAAAGTAAGAAGCAAGCAATGGTGGTTAGGTCTAGTGTAGAGACTAAATACAGAGCCATGGCCCATGGAGTTTGTGAGCTTATGTGACTCCAAACATTAGTGAAAGAGTTGGGAATTCATGCTGAGGGACCAATTAGTCTAGACTATGACAATAAGGCTGCTATCAACAATGCTCATGAACCAATTTAACATGATAGATCTAAACATGTTGAGATTGACCGACACTTTATTAAGGAAAAATTAAACAAGAGGTTGATTTACATGCTTTTTTTGAAATCAGAAAACCAGTTGGCCGACATCTTCAGAAAAGGGCCTAGTAGCAAGATTTTTCATCCCATTGTTTGAAAGTTGGGCATAAGAGATATCCAACTTGAGGGGTATTGTTAAGTTATGCATTATTTCTAGATTAATGGTAGTTTATTACTTTGTACTTTGTGAATGTATATATATTATGTACCCTAATACATTATTCCCTTTTTCCTAATTCTCTTTCTCTTTTATTCTCTCTTCTTCTCAAAACCCTAACGGCGTAATAATCTAACTTCAACCTTCCAAACATGTGATTAACAAGGTCTTATTTTGGTAGAAGACTACAAGAATAATCATTCGACAAAAGAAAAATGTCAGCACAAACAATAGAATAGGAACTGTATAGAAGAGTGTTCAAATAAAAAGAAAAATACGATAAAAATCATTTACATCCAATGCGACATTTAAATTGCCAGTAAGTCACCATGAAAATACATTGTATATCACATATTCAGCGCATGATAAGATACGAAATACAACAAGCTACCCTTCCCACTCATTGTGACATACCTCTGAACTTGAGGGATGCTACAGCTGTAAGAAGCACCTTCAAGACTTGAAGAGTTGTACTGGATATCATTTCCTCAGAAGTTACAGTCAAGAAAAGGCGTGCATATTACGAAGCAAATAGCAACATCCAACATACAAAATCGCATACCTGTCCGGTGATGAATTATCCACACAACTGCAGATCATGTTCAGGATGTCCGTAAACAGTATCCCATTTTTACCACCATCGAGGCCAGGATCGCCCTCTAAGTGATCATATGCAATGAGTTTCTGTGTGTATAAAATTTGGTCAGAATAAGTTAGCAATTATTTTGCTTTAGATGCCTGCATTAGAAGTTTCAAAGATGCTTTGAACAATACCAAGACTTGTTCTCAGAAATAGTACAAACTGAGAAGAACTGAAACTTTCTACATAAATGTAGGAGAGTTTTTATAGACAGATACCAACCAACACAACAAGCACTTACATGAAGACAATCCAATGCAAGCTCTATGACTTTTAAGTTCTTGGTCTCAAACGCAAGTCTGAGTGGATTCAATACAAGCTCTGCCTCAGCTCCTTCTAAAGTATGCCCAGCGTTTGCTAAAGCTGTTGTGATAGTTCCACTTGTGCCCATGGACCTCCCTGTGTGTTCTGCCTCCCCAGCACTAAATGGAACAGTGGGTGAAGTATCTGGATCACTTCCACTTTTTCCATCTCCAATGTCAGTTTCAGGCAAATTACTGAGAGAAGTGATTCCAAAAATTGAAACCGCATTTGATCAGAGATGATATATTAAAGGAACAGGAATTGTTAAAAAAACCAATAAACGCAAACATACTTCAAGTATTTGGCCTGTCGATGAATCAGATCTCAATCTGAATTCAACCTAATATTACTTACATGATAAGCACATATTTATCTAGCAACACACGTTATCCACAAAATACAACCTCCTCCATGGCACCACCCAATTAATACAACATGTTCAATAAACAAATTGGGTTAAACAGAGCTCTGAGTGCTTATAATCAAGATTTCTGATAATTAATACCAATCAAAACAAACACTCACACAAACACAAAAGAAGAAGCAATGGCAGCATCATTGTGACACAAAAAAAAAAAGCATAGCAGATTACAACATGTCTATGTGTAAACACCTCTGATCTCCAGCTGAAGATACTGCTTGATTAGTCTCGGTGGAATTCGGATGCTGATTAATTTCTTTTGAACTGTCTGAAAGAAGAAAAAGAAAAACATAGTATCCATTAAAATCCATTATGACCACTAGAATCCACTCACTGAAAAAGAAGCAAATAAAATATACCATAAAAACAGTGATCAGCCCAAGTGCCTCAAACCCCATTCACTCACTCTCTGTGTCTCTCAATACACAAAACCTTCTCCCTTAGGTTATATTAGCACAGATATGGCAAAACCTAAACTTTCAAGTGGTGATTACAGCACCATATAAACCTTAAAGGATCATTCATATGAGAAGTGGAGGGGGACTTCAAATAATCCCAACCCAATGAAAAATTACCCCAATTATGGAAAGGATATCAGACATCAATAAAGCAATTACAGATACAAGCAGAATTACATATTAATCCTCAGCAGCTAACCACAACATCTACGTCATCCTTGTTCATCACAAAAATTTCAAATATTATGTTCACTAGAAACATAATTTTTACAAAGAGAGGGCTTAGACATGTATCAGAAAACTCACACAAACACATACATGGTCAGTTTGGTCGAACACACAAGGCCAACAGATCTTATAGAGCTCTACAGGTACTTTTACAGGCCAGTGATGGCAGTAGCAATTGTTTTGTTCAAGTTAGGTTATGATGGCAGAAGCAAGTGTCACTTGGGCTTCAAGGTCCTTTTTCCTCTGTTTATCACTAGAGTCACTGGTGGAGCAAGAGTCCAAGGGGGGCACTAGCCCACCCTAAAATTTTTCGAAAATGTTATCTATCTATATTTCAAATATTCTTTAAATATATTCACTATGATTTTCTACTTCTATTAATTTGTTTACATTCATACCTAAATCACTGTACATTTTGGGACACACTTCGGACACGTCCAAATAACTTTTGGACATTTCAGGTCATTTTGTAATACTAATATAAAAGTTAACGCTGGTATCCTATTTCTTCCAAGATGTACTATTTTCATATTAATATTCATAATTTTTGTTTCGTTTCCTATCAACAAAAAATATAAATGGTACACGTTCATTTAGGTATTGCATAAGAATTAGGATTATTATGTCATAACTTGATTGTTATAAAGAGAATGACATTTTCTTGTCATTGATAATTATCATGCAACACTATCAAAATATAAAAACTCAACAGGAAATGAATGAAATTATCCTTATTTATATCATTTAAACAAATATAAATGGGTAATCTTACTTTTATCAATCGGGCGAAAAAAAATTAACATTTATAGTTAAAGTGCCCATCATATAATACATTTCTGCCTCTGCCCCTCACTATAGTTATAACGTACTTCGGAAATTAGGGTACTTCAATGTTTGGTATTGAAAACTTATAGGGATTTTTGTATTATTTTACTACAAATAGAGATATTTGACAACTTTCAAAAGGAACTTTTGCTTATTGATAATATTTTCCGTACATTCATTCATTCCTTTATAGGCATTAGGTTTGCTTATTTTTCACTCTATCAAAAGAGATTTAACTTATTTCATTTTTTTTGGTTTGGTTGCCTCCAACAAACCGAGGCTTCAACAGAAGGTTTATAAAGTCAAGATGCTACCTTATTTCAATGGGAGAGGCTAGTGGATCAAGATCAAAATCACAGGTTAGGATTGGCAATTGTAAGGTCCTAAAAACTTTTAAAATGGAACTAAAAATATATATAAAAATACAGAATTGTTAAAGAAAAACCTAATATAGATCTAGGTATTGAAGAGGCACAAAATCAGAGGTTGGTTGTTAGTCTGGTATGATTTTGTGAAGAGGAATAGGAAGATTAGAATGTTTTGATCATAACTTTTGAGAGAGGGAGGGAGAGAGACAGACAGACAGACTGTTTAATGCATAACCAACTAGGATTGTCCATCAAAGTACAAGTTTCATATATCAATGGTTATCAGTGAAACCAACTATGATCGTCCATCAAAGTACAAGTTTCATATATCAATGGTTATCAGTGAATTCTAAAATTTGAGGACAGTCCATGTAATAAAGCCAAGTGTCTGGGATCTATGTAAAATTTACCCAAAATTAAATTTGCAAAAGTTTACAAATGTGCAGAAAGCATTGAACTGAAATAAATATTTGAAGGTAGGATAGAGCAAAAGAAAGCTAAAAACAGAAACCAACCTAAATAACTTTGGATAGCCGACTGGAGAATTGTATACTTTTTACCGGAACACTCTTTGAGCATCGACTCCAATGCCCGAGTCACAAAACCCCCTGCAGCACGTCCAGCCATTTTTTTCCTTTTGATGGCAAACTTTTCTCCGATTATCTAAGAGTTCAACTCAATTCAAAGCAATTATAACTCTCTGACCCGTCCAAACTGTAAACTAAAATGAGAGATCCATTCAACGGAAATAAAATTATAGAGTCGGATCAAACGAGATCAGGTGTAGAGTTTAATAATTTAATTGCACTACTGAATCCCGTTCATGAGGCCCAATCCAACATTCCGGTTATACTGAGAGAGAGAGAGCAACGAAAAGGTAAAAATTACCTTACCTTCCCTTGCAGATAGGCAAAACTAATGTGAAGATGCATAAACTGAGAGATCCAGAAGGAAACGAGAGTGCAGATGTCACCTGTTTATGCGTGTACTATGCACTAGTAATACTCCACACAGGGGTGGGCTCCGATTCCGACGGAGTCGGAAGGCATAATTCCGAACTCCGACTCCGAATCACATTGACTCCGCCTATCGGAGTAGGGCGGAGTTTCAGAGTTGGATCAATTTTTATTGGGCTTTATACTTTCTCTCTTTTTTTAACTTTGATGAGATTTAGGAGAGAAGCATGCAGAAGGATTTCAGAGATGGTGAATACAGAAGCTTTTACAGTTGCTTGATAAAACACTCCCAGTTCACAGTTCCAAATAATTTGCTGAAAATGAACCAACAAAACACCATTTTGTAGACACGGACCACAGAGAGAGAGAGAGAGAGAGAGAGAGAGACCTGAAGTGGATCTGAAGGCCTATCACGAATGGCTGAACGGCTAAAGGAGTACAGAATACAGATCTGGTGGAGGCTCCTGGGGCTTTCAGATCTGCGGGGCTTTGAGCCTTTAACGAAATGGTAGGGGTTCTGGTGTGGGTAGGCAACGAGTTAGGTTAGAGTTCGAAATTTGGGGAGTTAGCCATTTAGAGTCCTGAAACTTTGAGAATAGAAGTGAAGGAAAGAGTGTGGTTGCTGCCCGTCGGGGAAGAGAGGTCGCAGCGCCTCCTCGTGATCGACGGTCAGTCAGAGCGAGAGAGAGATGGAGAGAGAGAGATGGAGAGGGAGAGGAAAAAAAACGACTAGACTTAGAGGGAATAGGTATTTTATATTAATTATATTATATTATAATTAATAAAAATCAGAATTTATAATCTGTTTAGTACGATAAAAAATTACAATGATGAAAAGGTTAAGGGAGAGATAAAATATCATTCATGTTTAATAAAAAAGGAAAGCAGAAAGGATGGAAAAGTAGATGAATGATTTTTTTTTCTAACTCATTAAAATTAATTCTTCCAAAATCAGAATGAAAATTGATGAAAAATTAATTATTTTTGTTGAAATATATTTTATTTATCTATATATTTTATGTATATATTAATTTTATATATAAATACAATGATAAAATATGCATTTATATTTTTTTTAAAAATTAAAAATAAATTAAAATAAAAAAAATATTTTTCCATCTAGTTAACGGTGGAAATTTTTAACTCAACGCGATGACACGACACGACTCGAACTCGGCACAAATTTTATGATACGAACTTGATTATAACTCGATACGAACTTGAAAATAATCTGACACATGAACACGAAATATAAATTGCTTATATTCAGTTTAACCCGTCAAACTCAATATTAACATCATCAATCCGTTTATTTAAGAAAAAACACTTTCTCTATTTTATCGTTTGTATAATAACAAGTTTAACTAATATTTATAGACATAAAATAATAATAATTTAAAACTATTTATTAACCATTGACATAATTATTATATAAAAAAATATTTTTAATTATTATTATATTTATTTAAGTTAATTTTTACTTTATAGAAAAAATACGGGCACGAATTCAATTAAGTGAAAATTGAATATTGGCGTTTTATTTTTTATTCAAAGTTTATGTGGGTCAACGCGAATACGAACACGAGCACAAATACAAACACGAAAATAAACTGATTAACTCGACATGACACGATTAGTTAAATAAATTGAACTAGATTTAACTAATGTTTGATACGAACTCGCAATGACTCGACGTGAATTTGACACGACATGATTTGATTGTCAGCCTTAATCTTAGCAAGTACAAAAATAATTATTATTATTATTTTTATTTGTCATTCATCTTACCAAACATAAAATAATTAATTTGTATTATTCCTACTTTATTTTCTTGAAGGATATAAAGTGTATCCCTCATATTTTTCATCCCTCTTATTTTTTATCATTCCTAGCGAACGGAGCATAATTAGATTCAGAATTTTTTTTGAAAATGATTTAAAATTTTGACTCCAATTTGAAGTATGCGATTTTCCTTGGACTCCATTAACATTTGACTTTGAGGAGGCCAAGCTAGAGTCCAAGTCAATTTTTTGAATTTTTATGCACTCTTATGTTTCATTTGGTACGATGAAAAATGAAAAAGATGAAAAGTTGGAAGGATGAAAAATTTGAGAGATAAATAAAATATCATGTTTGGTATGGAAGAAAAATACAAATGGTGGATTAATTTTTCCTCCAACTCATCAAAATTAATTTCTCCAAAATTAGGAGAAAAGAAAATGAAAAGTTTATTATGTGTGTTAAAATGTATGTTATTTATCCATATACTAATCATAACTCGTGTTTAAATGCACGATGAAATATAAAATTCGAACGCCAAAAAAATCAATCTTATTGTATTAAATAATAAATTTTTTCCTTCATTTCTTTGATTACATTATTTAAAATTTATTTTTACCCATTATTTTCTTAAAATTATTAACAACTTTCTCAAAATACATAATTTAATAAAATTTTCTCAACATGTATATATTATCGTCTATGGATAATATTAAAAATAAAAATTATGTTAAATTACAAATTAATCAAATATTAAATGATTGAACATGTGATAAAAATGAGTAATGTGATGTTTTTGAGATGAAAAATATGTAGAGGATAAAATTCAAGTTGCTAGGTGTTTTATTATATAGATCATTTAATATATATATATATATATATATATATATATATATATATATATATATATATATTTCATATTTATCAATTACATATTATGAATATAATGATGAAATATGTATTTATATTTTTTTAATAAAAATTTAAACAATTAAAAAAATATTTTTTTAATCTTATCAAACACAAAATAAATCAATCCTTCTTCATTTTCATCCATCTTACCAAACACAAATAAGGGAAGGAAATATTCCACCTTTGACGGATAAAAAGTGTATCACTTTCACTTTCTATCATTCAATTTTTCATCCATCTTACCAAATAGACCATTAGTGTGTTAAAAAAATCGTGAAGGACTTTGTTGGTCTAGCTGGTGGTGAATAGTATCTTTTTTTTATGAATGGGCACAAATATTCATTTTTCTCTTTTTTAAACTCTCTAAATTATAATTATCAAAATTAAGTCTCATTTATCTTAAAATAAGTAATCCATTAATAATCAAATTCATCTCAATTTATACTAATCTATATATTTTATAGGGTAGGAATCCATGGGCATTTGCCAAGAGTCATCTTTCTTGCAAACTAATATCACTAGAATAAGTATGGACCTAAGTCATACAAAATGAGAGCATGGGCAAGAGCGATAACAAGAGCGCAAAAGCGAAAAGTTTAAAAAAAATATAAAAGTGGAAGTATCTTGAGAGCTTTATAATATATTTTATGTATATGTATGTGTGTGTGTGTGTGTGTGTATATATATATACATACACACACACACACACATATATACTAGCAATGCAACATATGCATTGCACGCGAATAATTTTTGTATACAAAATATTAATAAAAAGTATTAGGTATATGTGTACCTACATTAAATATCATCTCAAATCTATCAAAATTATATCTTAATCGCTTGTATTATATTAAAAATATTGTCTATTCTTGTTTTAACTATAAGAAAAAAAGATAATAATAATTAAGAATTAAATAGGTCAATAGGATAAAATATAAGGTTAATAACACTTTAGGTTTCTAAAGTATGTATTTTTTGTCAATTTCATCCCCAATATTTGAGTTTTGTCAATTTAATCTATAAAATATTAAATTCTTATTTAAATGGTTCATAACCAAATGGTCCATTAAGTTTTTTTTACAAATTTGAGTTTTGTCAATTTAATCTATAAAATATTAAATTCTTGTTTAAATGGTTCATAACCAAATGGTCCATTAAGTTTTTTTTACAAAAATGACCACATTTCACTCCGTCAGATAGTATCGCGTTATCATCACTTCTGTCAAAAACTTAACAAATTGTTTGTGTATAAATAATTTAAACACTAACTAAATTCTTTAGAGACCAAACTGATAAAATTGATATAATGAGGATCAAACTGATAAAACATGTATAATTCTGGGACTTAAAGTACTATTAACCCTAAAATATAATATCATATTCTATAATATATATTTTAAAAGAATATTAAAATTTTAAAATTCAAGTTTTACTTAAAAAATACACTATAATTGTTTGTATATAAACTCTTAATAAAACATGAAAAGTTTATTGTGATTGAATAATTATGTTGATTTAACATAAATTATTTTTAAAAAACTATATAAAAGATTATTTTTTATCTTAAAAATGAAATGATTTAAATCTTGGATAAAAAATACACATATATAAATATAATGTTATCTTTATATTTGAAATCAGTAATGTTACATTGATAAAGTTTTTATATATTTTTTGAATATTTTATTGAAAACAGTAGTATGTAAATATTTTTTAAGGGTAACGTAGTCAATTACAAAATTTAATAGATACTAATAGTTATATATAATGAATAGATAATTAAAAGAGATATTAGAGGTAATATAGAGATTTGAACCATAAATATATGATGGTAATTTAGATATTCAATTATGGAAGAATAGTGTGGTATTTAAAATTATTTATAAGAGTAAAACAGTGAATCAAATTTTTTTTATTCTAAGCTATTTTTTTTAGTAATATAAATTATTAGTAGTATAGATGAAAAAAAATACATAT